TGGATGACCATGAGTCTAACACTATGAAAAAGGAGACTTTTTTTATCTTGTTTGTTTGTTTGTTTGTTTGTTTAGGGAACTCTATACCGCCCCATTCACCGAAGCCTCAGGGCAGCTCACAATCATAAATAAATAACATAATATAAAACAATATAATTTAACAGTATAAATTAAGTCGCCCTGGCCAAAGAATAACATAAATAAATAATATTAACAATTAAAATAACATTTGAATAAAAAGGTCTTCGCCTGGCACCGAAAAACAAATAACGACGGCGCCAGGCGGACCTCTCTGGGGAGCACATTCCATAGATTATCCACATCATGCATAATTTTATAAACCTGTGTCAAGTCAGTCTGAAATCTTACAAATTAAGGAGGTGAGAGGTGGGGAGATCATCCTTAGTTTAACAACCAAATTCTCCAACCACGTCTGCAAAACAATCTGAAAGCAGCACTTCTCAAAACCCCAGAGGGAGAGGGAGAAGCCAGGTCACTCGCTTTAAATGCAATTTAAGCAGAAGTTGAACTAAAGGGTTTCTTTTGGTTTACATGGACAGGCTTCAGATCAGCATTTAGACTCTTCCCTGCCATAGCAAGGGAAGATTTATCCCCTACTAAGGCGTTTATCAAAGGGCAAGGAGAGAATTGCTTGTGAGATATGAGAAATAAATATACAGGGAATGGGGAATGCTGGGAGTTGTATTTATTATTTTATTTGTTTAAAGTTTTTGTATGCCATCCCCTTGCTATATAGCCTCGGGACGGCTTGTAGGATTGTACCCTAACAGTGTGATGCTGTGCATCTTTCTTTGGAGGTCACTACCTCTGACTTCAGTGGGCTTTCCGCCCAAGAAAGGGTGGGTAGAATTGTAGCCTACCAATTTTGCTGTCTCTTAATAAAAGCTCTTGTGAAGCCGAAGCAGCACCCACAGAGGAGCCTGCTGCATCTCTGCATGATCCCCTGCTCTGAGTCAGCCCGTTTGAAAGCAAGGCCCAGTTTTTACAGTGTTGGAATAGTTGTTAATTTTCTATGTAGGCACTGAATTTCCTACGAGGGCACTGCATTTCCTGCCATAACCAGGGTCTGCAACGTGCTGCTTTCTGTATGACCCATACAGAAACTTAGAGGGTGGGTGAGCTTTGCTGAGGCCCAGTCATTCTTACTGCCATTCTTTTTATTCTTGATATTCTCAGATGTTATGAATATTCCCACAGCGAATGCAGGAGATGAGTTAGGATAGTTCTGTAGCCTAATCAGGTTAGGGCTATAGGCATGGTTTATACATTTAAAAATAATAAATAAATAATCAGAGCTACTGGGAAACAAGTGGGAGGTTTCCACAGTAAAGGGAAACAGATTGGTAGGGGGAAGACACGAAGGCTGCATGTGCCTACATCTCCAAACCCCAGCCTAGTGAGGACTGCGCATGCTTGAGTGGTCTCCAAATGTTGCTTGTTGCGAGCGGGATTGGAAAATCATGATGTGAAGTGAGGTGAGGAGTGGAATATCCTTTGGACTTCAACTCCTTTCGGTCCAAGCCCACATGACCAATTAAAGCAGGAATGCTAGGAAGGCAGAAAGGCTTGGAGTTTGCCTCCAGTTGTTGTTCAGGAAAACAGTGTCCCTTGGCCTTTCAAAAGTTTTGGAAATAGTGCTTAGCCATGTACCTTAAATGTTACCACACTTCACTGCCCCTTCTTCATAGTTATGCTATGCAAAATAGACATGGGCAGATGAAGCTGCTTGTTCAAACTGCAGAATATTAGAAACACATGGGCTTTCTGCCTTATCCAGGACATGTTCATATCTAGAGTTGGCTGAAAAATCTCAGCTCATGTACAGTCTTGTCCGTCCCTTTAGGTATGATGTTCTTTGCAGAACATCAAGACCACATGTTATGCTAATTGCTTGGGGGGTTAAAATATGTTATTAATCTCATCTATCTTGTTTTCCGCTCTCTAAGTTATGGACATCGAGTTAAAGTGCTGTGTTTTGCATGTCCCGGTAGCCAGAATTGTACATTGTTTTCCAGGCATTGTCCTTTATCACAGCAGGATTTGTTGGCCGTTCCTACAGAGCATACGTTTAGGGTATCCCATTTCTGTAGGTACATGCAGTCTTGAGTGTATATAGGGCCGGCTTCAGCATTGGGAATCCTTGGGCCGTTGTCATGACCCCAGGACCTCTATGGGGCCTATAATGTCTGCCTTGTTTCCCCTGTAATTCTTTGTCTTTCACTGGCATGATGTTCTGAGTAGTGCTGGGCAGTAGGGCAGAGCTGAGGGCCATGCCATTTGAATTTCCCACAATGCTCTGGATTGACACTCTTGGGGCATTGTGGGAAATGGATCTAATAGCTAGATCTAGCTCCTGCACTGCTGTCTGCCCCTGCAGAATGCAGCAAGACCCAGTGACAGAGGGGAAGGATTTGTTGGCAGAAAGATACATGGTGTGGGGTCCCCTCAAACTAGAACCAGGGTGGTCACTTATGAATTGCCAATAAAGAAGCAATACAAAACAGGAAACATATTTGCATTAAAACCTATATAAATTCATAGGCATACATGCAGATTTAGAAATCATTATTATACTTTAAAAAAGACTACAATGCATCTTAGCATAGTGTGGAAGATTGTGATCAGGCCCTACTGAATCTATTGTTCAGGGGCTAACTATAGCTAGAGAAACAGTTGCTCTAGTCCTCTGTATTTAAACCAGAATTGGATAGGACAGTCCTTCAAACTGACAGGATGGTCCTCTGTGAAACAGGGCATGTGGCCACCCTTCCTGGCACCAGCACTGGCTGTACAGATGGCTTGTGCCAAGGAAGGCGTGTGCCTTGCACATATATGGTCTCAGCAAGCGCTTGGTGTGTCTAGATAAAGCAGGTGGTGGGGGGACCTCTTTCAGCCTGAGAACTGAGTTCTGTTTCTGTGAAGCTTCCCTATAGCAGTGGGTGAGGCCAAAGGCAAGAACTACCAGCATATTTTAGGTTAAAGCTCTTCTTGGTGTTAACTGTGGCTTAGGAGAGGCACTTCAGCCTTCTAGCATTGTGGGCAGGGGACATGCAAAAGCCAGGAAACATCAGAAGAGGGGCCATAATCCACTGAGGAAGTTGTGAGAATGGGACCCCATGCAGCCTAGATTCAGCCAGGGGGCTGCACCTCTGAGGTGATGGCTCCACTGCCCCAAGGCTGAGACCATTTTCTGCTGGAGAGCTCGGATCTTACCACACAAACGCAGCGACAAGTTGCTCATTGCATTTGCTTACATTTGATGTTCATACTGCGCAGCCTCCTTCACTCACCAAGTGGAATGCGCTTATCCTGCCCTGTTAATCCACAGCTGCAGTCTCATCCTGTCTACCTGCTTTCAGCCAGGTAACCACGTGCGTAAGGCCAAGGTGATGTATTTTCCTGGATGCTGCTGTTAGGGATTGCGCATGGACATATCCGAGCATTCTCAGTGTTTGCACATCAGAGCAGCCCACCATTTACCCATAAGGCCTGTGACATTGTGCTGGGCATCCACCATTTTTGCAGGACTCACAAGAGCACCTGGCTTGTGCTGTGTGAACCTAGATGGCAGGGGTTGTTTGAGGGTTAGACAGCCCTCAAATGGTGTTCTTTTCTGGGTTCACATGATAATAAGAAGCCTGGGCGAGCCTGGCAAAGAATGGTATCTGTGAGTGCTAGCACAATTCTACAGCCCCCCCCCCCCCCAGTCAGTTAAACCACAGTGGACTGTCCTATTACACAAACACAAACTGATATCGTCACCAGCCATCATGGGACTGCTGGATGCGGACGTCACACTCTCTGGGCCAGGACTACGCATGCAGCAGCAGAAGGTGGTAATGAAGTGGGAGACACCTGAGATGTTGGAATGGATTGAGCAGATGGGAGGTGGGCAGACCACATTTCTGATGCTCTGCTGTATAAAAGTAGCAGAGACAGAGCAGGCTGAACCTGAGTATCAGAACCGCTTGTTTAATGTTTAAGTTACGCATTTGCACAGGAGTTTTTACGTGGGGGAGCTTTCAGACATGACCTCCTCCTGTAGTCAAATCAATACTGTCCCCTCTACCAACTCAGGGTTCTGGTACTTATTTTGCCCTTTTCATACCAGTATCAAATGTCCATTTAAATTATCATGGTGAGCAGCCTTGATCCTTGAAGATACAGGGAAAGAATTACCCTGTGCAAGGGCCAGGATGTGGGCAGCAACTGGGACAGGCAGAACTCCAGGATCAGGGTGCTAGTGTGAAGACAGGTCCTGCAGCTTAGTAGGGCTAGAGGCTGGTGGCATGGTCAGCAGTACAGGGTCAGGACCAAGGCAGCAGGCAGTCCAATATTATACAGGCCAGAGAGGGAGCATGGTCCAGGAACAGTCCAGGGGTCTGATGCCAGGTAAATGGTCATGTAGGGGCGGCCCAGACAAGAGTGGGCTGGAGCAGGGCAGGAACAACTTGGAGCAAGCAAAAGCACACAGGAGCAGGGCAAAGGCAGACTAGGGTATGCAGGAGCAAGGCAGGACAGATTGGAGCCAGGCAGGGACTAACAGAGCAAGCAGAAGCAGACTGGAGTAAGGCAGGAATTCAAGGCGTGGTGACACAGAAGCCAGAGCACAAGAGAGTCCTGAAGAGCAGCAGTGCCAGGAAGCCTTTGATGCTGGTCTTTGGGACCTGCCGCTGCACTGCATGATTGCTCTTCACTCACTGCCTGCAACAGCCTGCAAGGGGCTCCTGGTTCTGCTGGCACTTGCAGGGCCACTCGCGCCCTGATCCTGACACCCTGGCCATTGTAAACACTGACTTAACTATTTGATTCTCCGGTTTTCGTAAGGTTCTGCAGTATTCATACTGTGGAAAGGTTTGTGGAATTCAATAGAACTTCTGAATAAACAATGGGCTCTTAATTTACTAATTGCTTCATATATGCTTTATTTCTGTTTTGAGATTTAATTTTATCATTTTATTTTATTTTTGTCTTTTCAGGAAAAAGTGCTGTAAGGGTTATAAGTTTGTTCTCGGACAATGCATCCCTGAAGGTATGTGATGAAATGTTTCTTACTTTCCCACTTTTGTTAGTGCTTTGGCTCCATCTATCTAGGCCATTAAAAATATAGGATCAAGCATTTATTTAGCTGGTGAGTATGAAGAATCATCTAGCACTGATCACTGTCAAGTCCCATCCACCACTCTGATGCCAGGATTTTGCACATTCACTTGATAACAATGTCCACTTCTAACTAGTAATTTTCTCTAAATTCTGAACATGGGTGTGCATGCAAATAGCCTGATCAGGTGCATTCACCTTTGAGCAGTTCTGCTGGAAAATGAAGGTGGGGAGCACTGATGCAGCACCTGCCCTGCCCGCAACTTGTTTTAGGAAGCAGTAGATTCTAGAGGAAGGGTTAAGGTGCGATGTGCCAGATGTCAAACACCTTGATCAATTGTCCTGATGCAGAAATGTCTCTGTGTGGAGGTGGAGTGCACCAGAAGGACCAGTCCAAGGAGCGGTCTGCAGGCCACCAGAAAAAAGACTGCTCAGGTCTTTTCTGTCTTTCCAAGGCTTCAAACTCCTGGACAATTTCTATCTGTTCAGCATCCCATAGCCTTGCTGCTTTGACAGAAGAGAACTTCTGCTTTTATCTTCATCTCTATAATTTATTATAAGTGATCCTGCACTTTCTAACCAGTGATCCCAGCTGCTCTTTTATTGGCATGACTCCTCTGCAAAATAGGAGAATGACTGGTTCCGTGAACTTCATGGCCGATTAAGGATTTGAACCTGGGTGTTAGTATAGCACTCCCGCCATCACATCACACTAGTTCTCACCACTGCTTATGGTCATGCCTGGTAGCCCCTTCGGGAGACAGAACATGCGGCCCAGTTGCTACCCACTCCTGGGTTTTGGCTCCCTCCTTCAGGAACGCAGCAAGGTTGAGGAGTTCCTTCTTAGAACTAAACCAGACATTTCTGTAAAATCTGTGTCTAGAACTGCATCTCCCCACCTACCTCCATTTTTAGTCGAAGTTGATGTAGGAGCCCTGATCCAATCTCAATGATCTTTTACCCTCCACGCTCGAGCCCTTTACTGGATTGGACCTCCTGCATCTACACAGGAGAAAAAATTAGAAGTGAAAAATGATGTAGCTACTGGACACAGATTTCAAGTATTATCTGCATTGGTGCTTGGAAGACAGAGTTTTAATTAAATCAAATCCATGTTTTAGCATCTTTGGGAGTGCATTGCTTTTGTACCTCCTCTGCAATGCTACAAAGACGAGCTCAGCCTATGGTTTATTTATTAAAGCCTTATGCTTACTGTTCGTTATTTGGATTTTATGGGACGCGCATTCTCCACTCTGGCCATTTGAGTATGGCTCTTCTTTTATTATCAGTGTTACCCTGCCAAGACAGATGCACGTACTTAACTTGACACACTCTTGCTGTGAACCAGAGCCCGCTGAAGTCAATGAAAGGACTCACCTTGATTTTATCGAGTTGATTTATCGTTGACAGATGTGCTGGTTTAGCAGCTCAGAGTCTTGGAAATTTTGGCAGCCAGGCATGGACCTGATAATGTGTTGGGCTGAAACCAAACTGTGGATAAAAATCTTAGCAGGTGACCAAACTCAGTCAGTGACTTCACCTATCTTGGCACTGTTGTCAGCACTGACAAAACACTTTGAATCATCTGCTCTGCAAAATTGGTCTCTGAAATGGAGTAGGAACTACTTTAGCATGGAGAAATCCCTGATACAGCAGGCTCAGTTACATCATATATACTGTTCATTCTGCATACACCTAACCAGAGGGACTTAGTTTGTATGATGTTAAGTTAATTTTGAAGGAACACAACACAATAAGCATTTTTGCCATGGTTCTCAAGTGATAGTGTTCATTGCCCTGATATTTAAATGGAGTATTTCCATATGAGAGAGCAGTGTTGCATTCAAAAAAGTCCTGGGTGGATGGATGGAATTGCTAATGCCTCTCAACCTGGAATGTTCTAGTGTAACCCTATTAAGGGAAGATGGAAGGACCCTGTTCTCAAAGGATGTCCCAAAATACAATAGCTGACTAACATCAAGTAAACTTTTGTGGCCTGAACTACATCACTGGCGATGTGTGGTGGCTTGGAATGAATGACTCTACCAATTTAGATTTCTCTCCATTTCTCATTTTTTCCAATCATCTCAAACTTCAAGAATTTTTCTGGTTTTAAGGTTTATCCAAATCTTTGAACATTAAAAAAAACCTGTGCATGAAACCCTGTGTTTTTTTTCCCTGCATCTCTTTTAATGCAGTTCTTTATGCAAGCTTACTTAAATACACATTTTTGCAAGCAAATTTCCCAACAGAATGTTTTTCTGAATGTTATTTTCACTAATATATACATGTTGTTTGTGCACTGTCCCAATACATACATTTTTGCATGCAGGTCTTGGTTGAAAAATTCACTTGCAAAATTCAGGAAAGAGTGAATTTTGAAGGAAGTTTTAGTTTGCATATTGGTGTAAAACTGGAGAAGTTTACCTTATAATGTGAACCAAACAAATTTCTCCATTTTGCATAGTGGTGGCCATAGAAAGCTACAACACTGCTCCTACAAATATATGGGTTTTTAAATATTTTTTGAAATTGTTGACTAATTGCTAGAGGTGCAATAAAGGTAATTCTCATATGTTTTGTTGTTGTTGCTAGTCGCGAAGTTGTGTCCAATCCATCCATGGACAACATTCCTCCAGGCTCTCCTGCCCTCCACCATCCCTCAGAGTCCACCTAAGCTCACACTCACTGCCTCAGTGTCTCCATCCAGCCACCTCATCCTCTGTCGTCCCCTTCTTTTGCCTTCAATTGTTCCCAGCATTAGGTTCTTCTCCAGTGAGTCCTTCTTTCTCATTAGGTGGCCAAAGTATTTGAGTTTCATCTTCAGGATCTGGCCTTCTAAAGAGCAGTCAGGGTTGATCTCCTCTAGGACTGACCGGTTTGATCGCCTTGCAGTCCAAGGGACCTCCAGCACTTTAGTTCAAAGGCCTCATTTCTTTGGCGCTCAGCCTTCCTTATGGTCTCATATGTTTTGGCAATGCCCAAATAATTCCCTCTTTTGCAAAGGAGGTTGTTACACTGGAACACTCATTGCACTGGAACATTCTTTGTTAGTTACTGATATACATGCCCTTTTAAATTCATAGAATCATAGTATATTAGAGTTGGAAGGGGCAGTGTACAGCCCCAAGTTACACCATCCCTCCCAGACGGCTGACCACTTGCATCTTGAATGCCTATAGTGTGGAAGAGCCCATAACCTCCCTAGGCCGTCGGTTCCATGGTTGTACTGCCCTAACAGGAAATCTTCCCTGATATCTAGCCGTGATATGGTTTTCTGTAACTTGCGCCCATTATTCCATGTCATGTACTCTGGGGTGACCAAGAAGAGATCCTGTCCTTTGTCTTTGTGACAGCATTTCAAGTACTTGGAGAGTGCTATGCTATCTCCCCTCAGTCTTCTCTTCATGAGGCTAAACATGCCAAATTCTTTCAACCTCTCTTCATAGGGCTTTGCTTCCAGTCCCCTATCATCCTTGTTGCCATCCTCTGAACCCTTTCCAGCTCGTCTGCATCTTTCTTAAATTGTGGTACCCACACCTGGACGCCGTACTCCAGATGCAGCCTAGCCAGTGCTGAGCAGAGGGAAACTAGTACTTTACAGGATTTGGAAGTGATAGATCTATAATGGCCTAAAATAGCATTTGCCTTTGTTGCACCCACACAATTATCCACCTGCATTCTGGGAGTTAACAAAAAGTCAGTGCAATTTGACAGCTGAAAGACTGATATTATGACATTGGAAGGACTGAGAATGTAATGACACCTCCAGTATTTGAATGGCTGTGATATAACTGCCATTTGAGAATGGAACATGTTATGATTATGATTATTTGCACTGCATTTGTGGCCTGCCTTTCTCCTCTCGTTAGAAACCTAAGGTGGCCTATGCCATTCTTCTCCACTTGTGAGAGCCAGTGGCTGGCCCAGTGTTACCCAGTGAGCTCCATGGCTGAGTGGGGACTAGAACCCAGATCTCCCAGGTCTCCAGTCCATCCCCTGAACCACCACACTGGCTCTCACGAATATCCACACAAATATGGATATTTGTTCTTCCTTAGTTGGACTTTATATGTAACTCTCCAAAAGCTGTAGGCCCACTTTCCCCCTAAATACAGTGTTCCAAGGTTGTTACTGCAGAATCTGAATCAGAGCAGGAAGAAAAAGCAGGGTCAGAATTCTCAGTGGAAATGCTAAAGCTAGCTGCTCCAGCAATCAGCCAAGAAGATGATGAGAGCTAAACTGTGTCTGATTTGATAAGGCAGAATCAGATGGGGTAGATATAAATGGTGGGTGCTATAGTCCAGCGTCAGCGCAAATGAGCAGAGCAATCAAGTAGCACCTGATTTTCCCACTGTCTGGCCCACAAGCAGCAAGAACTACTTGAGAGTGGAACTAGCTCCTCTTGGCTGGGAAGGGAGGAGAAGGATTTCCTTTGGAACCAATGTTCTGGCATTGTATTTCCCTAGCATCTGATATCCTAACTTTGCTGGTATCTTTTGTTATGTAATGACTTCTGCACCGCTCCTCTTTTGGATCACAAAGCATCTTAGCTGGCCAGGTCAACATAAAAAAGCTAGAAGCATTTTGTCCTGATCTGGAAGGACTGAGCAGCAGGGAGAGACCAGCATCCAGCATGTATAACGTACGCACTTGGTCACACTGACATGGCCAGACCTGCAGAGTTACATTTTCTCATCCTGATGATTTTATTTCATTTTCTTGACATTATGTAAAAATAATGTTTTAAAAACCCTGTTCCATCTGTGTTTTGCAGAATGTCAGGGATCTTTTGTTCCATCTCCTGCTCACTGGTAGAATTGGACTTTGAAAAGAGAATTTGGTTCATTTACAAATACACCTTTGCACTAAGGTGCATTAGTATATAGGTGCCATTGTGTGAGTGTACACTCACACTTCAGTTCAAAAAAGCGTCTAGAAGTCTGCAGAATCTGTGTGACTCAGAAAAAGTCACTCCACAGCAGAATCAACATCAAATCCACACTACTCCAACCACACTAGTCTCCATTACGGATTCCTCCAGTCTTGTGAGTGAAAAACAGCAATGTCTGGACTAGGAGGAGTAGGATGAACCCTTTCGAAATCTCTCTCGTCAGAATCTGCAGACTTCCTCTCATGCTTGGCTCGGTCCTGCAAAGCAAGCCAAACCAAGAAGAAATCTGCACAGGAAAACACTCCCAGACTCTCAGTTGCACCGCTGCCAGCCTTCCCCATCTGGAGTTGCTGCAGGATGCGAAGGGGATGCTGTGAGCGGGCGCACCAGCCGCCATTCCCAGCAACCAAGCTTTTCCCTGCTCACTGCTGCCAGTGGCAGCTGCACCAAAAAATGGGCAGACGCGCCGGCACACTGGCCCCTGTTCCCAGCAGCCAACCTTCTTTCCCACGTACTGCTGCAGAATGGTGTTGCTTGCATAGCACATGAGGCTCAGCTCCTGGCAAGCCGTCCACAAACGCTGACACTTGACTCGACTCTGGGCCGCTGCAAAGCGCGATGGAGTCCGGGAAGCTGAAACCAGGGGATCTGAGGAATTTTCTGCACAAAACGGATTCCTCACTCATCCCCAGTCTGAAACCACACAACATTCTGTGAACGAGACAGGCTGTTGGCACAATAAAAACCTCATCCAGAAGCACCTGTGGAAACGCACAGCACAGGGATATTACAAAATGCGTTTTATTTTACTGCAAGAAGTTGGAGAGGAGGAGGAAGAGAAGATGCTGGACTGCTGCTGTCACCACCTGCTACTTACTGGCTGAAAGTAGCGCAGCCCTCACACCTCCTAGTCTTTACAGCTTGTAAAACACCAATCGTGGTTCTAGGAGTGGGTGTGGTACATTCAGTGACATTTCCATCACCTTCACGGCGTAACACTCACCTCCCAGCTACCTGTGATTAATTGTCAACCTAGTACGTCTACCTGAGCCAACTTTCCTCTCCAGATAATATTCTCAGAAATATTGTACAGAAATTTCCTGAAGGTGAAACCACTGGGAAATACTACCGTAACTTCTCCTTTCAGAGGCATCTGCTTCACTGCTTGTTTAGACCAAGTTTGTGTCCCCCATAGGAATCCAGTGCCTACCTTTCCATGATAATAACTCAGAATAAAACTACATTCATAATTTAAAGATTAAAATTACATTACTATTCCATTACTTTTGTACCATTGTACAGCTACTAAAAGCAAGCCAATTTTACGCTCCCTAGATTACGATGTCTGCGCAGATGCGCCTTGTGAACAGCAGTGCACAGACAATTTTGGACGAGTGTTGTGTACGTGTTATCCTGGTTACCGGTATGACCGTGACAGACACAGGAACAGAGAAAAACCATATTGCTTAGGTGAGTAGAAATTGCCCTGGGAACATACCTAAAAAAGTACACATTGGGACATGTTTCAGGCGTGGATTATACCATTTTGGGAACTTGTATGTTCAACTGGTAACATGACTTGCAATAGAACACAGGAATAGTTTCACTCCTTTTAGGGTGCAATTCTGTGCATGTTTAGGGACGAAAAGGTCTGGTAATTCTCAGCACCAGAAATGGTAAGCGGTTTTTCTGTCTAAAGATGCATAGGATTGTGCCCTTAGAAATTTGGAGCTGGAATTTGGCTGCTTCTAGTGTAGTGAATTCTCGAGACTTTGTTTGATTATTGTTTATTTAGGTGAACTTTCAGCACATTTTTTGGCAGATTTTTTTTAAAGTTAAAATAGAAGCTTAAAATAAAGAAAGGAATTGCTTCTGGAATTTCTCGTTCTTGTCCAAATGTTCTACACTATGATTTGTGGTTTCACAGATGTATATGCAAAATTCTGCAAACCCTTTTCTTTGTGATCTGCCCTATGAGGTCTCCTTAGGCATGGAGAACCTTTTCTTGCCAATGTCACATTACTTTGGTTGAAGCCCACATATCTGAAAAAGCCAAAAGCGGGTAGACTTTTTGATATGGCTTTCTTCAAAAGCAAAGCAAGAAAATTACATCTAGGCATTCTCCTTCCTGAGCTTGTGCGAGGTTGCCTTCATCAACTGTGCCATTGCAGGACGGAGGGATGGAGTATTTATTTATTTATTTAAACCTTTTGTATGCCATCGCCACAAAATATGCCAGGGTGGACTATTTTCTTGCCAGCCCAGAACGTTACTTTGACAGGTAGGATCTGCCAGCCGAAATCTTTCACATATATTTATTTATTTAAAACTTTTATATGCCGTCCTCTATGTGTGACCCCTCAGGATGGCTTACAAACATTAAAATCAAAAACAAATAATTAATACAAGTGTAAAACAATATACAGCCAGTAAAAATGAATTAAATCAAGAGAGACTGATTAAAACTATTTAAATACTAATTTTTAAAATAACACTTAAATAAAAAGGTTTTGACCTGGTGCCGAAAAGAATATAGGCTTGGTGCCAGGTGAACCTCTCCGGGGAGCGCATTCCACAATCACATCACATCCTATCTCAAGATGCCAAGGACAGAACCTTGGACCTTCTCCATGGCTCCCTAAACCTGGTGGAATTAACACAAAACTGATAGGAAATCTTCATTTCTGATCCTTCTGTTCCGTCCTCTGAGCAAGCCAAAACCAAGCCCCACTGTGACATTCTCCCCCTTTCAGATATCGACGAGTGCACCACGAGCAGCGAGCCCCTTTGCCCCCACGTCTGTGTCAACACCCTCGGGAGCTACCGATGCGAGTGTCATGAGGGCTACATACGTGAAGACGATGGGAAGACGTGCACCAAGGGAGACAAAGGTACCGTCCCTCAGTGAGGCTGGCCTGGCATGACCGGCTGTGGACCCAGCAGCCATGGAAGGGTCCAGGTCAACAGACCACTGCTCAGAAGGAAGTGGGAGTAAAACCAGGCATCTCTGCACCAGAGCAGTAGCTTCAAAACTATTTCTTTTTTTCGTGGGACTCATTTAAGAAGGGAGTAGTTACTCTCTGCCGGCATGCCACACAAATGCAGAGAAACAGAGCACTGTGGACACTTCGGGATGGAAGATTCCCAGAGCCTGAGAATGCCTAAAAGCTTGAAAGTGCTCTGGCTTGCTTATTTATTTATCTATCCTATGTGCTTCCTACCTTTTTTTCCTTTGAAGGGACTCTGGGCAGCTTACGTAATTCTCTTTCTCCTCGCAATGTTATCCTCACAACAACAGCCCTGTGAAGTAGGCTGGGCTGATAGTCTGTGACTGGCTCAAAGTCATCTAGTGAGCTCCATGGCTAAGCAGGGACTAAAACCCAGGTCTCCTGGGTCCCAGTCCTGTGTTCATCACCAGTACACCACCCTGGCTCTCAGCTCTGCAAATTATTCATTATTATCCTTGTCCCTGCCATTTCTCCTCAAATCACATACTAACAAGCTGCGGAAGGAGGGCGGAATCAGTGGACCAATTTGTGGAAGCCGGGTAAATTGTGATCGCATGAACATGAAACAGAGTCCAGGTTGGTCTCTCGAGGCCTTCTGAAGAGAGAGCTTTATTTCTACTGCAACATTTCCATTGGATACAAGGGGCGCAAAGCAGGGACTTTCCACCTGGAAAGCATCTTGGTCTGCCACTGAATGGTTATCCCTCCTCCGTTTGCTGCGCCTGCAGTTTACTTTGCTTCTGCTAACTAAGGCAAGCATGGGATGCCTCAAAATGTATAGAAGTGCCATATTGATCTCACTTTCCACAATGGGCTGTGCAAAATGGTTTGCAAAGCAGTTGGCCTAATTAGAGTACATTATTTATTATTTGTGTTATTTATTTAGGAAGCTTCTATTCCACCCCATTCGCTGAAGCCTCGGGGTAGCTCACATCAATAAATAAATAATCACAATATAAAAACAATATAATTAGAGTCGACCTGGCCAAGGATATAAAATAAATAAATAATATTAACAATTAAATTAACAATTAAAATGACGTTTAAATAAAAAGGTCTTTGCCTGGCGCCAAAAAATGAATAACGATGGCGCCAGGTGGACCTCTCTGGGGAGCGCATTCCATAGATTGGGCGCCACCGCAGAGAAAGCCCTCCTCCGAGTACTTACCCTCCTAATGTCCTTCACGGAGGGTTCCCGGAGAAGGGCCTCTCCTGCTGATCTCAGGGGGCGGGCGGGCATATATGGACGTAAGCGCTCCTTCAGGTAACCAGGACCCAAGCCGTTTAGGGCTTTATAGGTCATCACCAACACCTTGAATTGGGCCCGGACTTCAATGGGGAGCCAGTGAAGCTGACGGAGGACTGGAGTCATGTGAACATAATGCCCAGTCCCCGTCAGCAGCCTGGCAGCTCTATTCTGAACCAGTTGAAGTATACGGACCGTCTTCAAGGGCAGCCCCACGTAGAGCGCGTTACAGAAGTCAAGTCGGGAAGTCACCAACGCGTGTGTCACTGTCGCCAGGCAGTCGTTCTCCAGGTAGGGATGCAGCTGGTGGATCATTACATTACAATGCAGCAGTAACTCAATTACAGTTCATTTGAAGCATGTCAGATTTAAAAAAGCACAAGACCTACCAGTAGGTCAGTTAAGATTATCCAGTACCAATATATTCACACTGAAGCATTCCTTAGACAGTTCATGTTAAGAAACTTAACAATAAGCTTAACTCATCCAATGTCAAGCTGACAGCAAAAAAGTGTGTGTGTTCGGGACCCACAAAGTACTCTGAGCACCCCCGCTCCTCTCACCATCTTTCCAAGTCCTGAGCCAAAGCAGGGCTCTCCACGTGCTCCTGGATATTCCCTTCCTGGCTGGCTCTCTTGGAGGCAGAGTGCCAGGAGAAGCAAGGTGGAGAATCCCTCTCCCCGGGCAGGTGTTCCCAGGCTGAAACACCTGCCAGAAATACCTTCACATACACCCAAAGTCGCAGCATCTTCCATAGGAAGCCCGTAGACTGGGGGATGTGGTGGAACCGGGGTTCCCTTATGCAAGGCCCCACTGACCCACCCCATTCTGGAAGTGGGGTTCTGCTCGTTTCAGCCTGCTCCCAGGAGTACTAGATCCCCGTTGTGCCAGCTGCATGGGCCGCTTGTGCCGCAGGACCTATAGAGCAGGTGGGATATTGCCCAGGGCCCCTTTCCCTCTGCTTCACAGTAAGTCATGTTGAAGTGCTCCACAAACTGAATCTTGCATCTGGTGACAATTTCCATGCTTAGCTCAGCTTACATGTAAAATTGCAGAATATGCACCACTTTGTCTCCTATTCCAGAAAGTTTGCAGCCATCACTCCTTGCTGACTCATTAGGGAGGTGCAGCGGGGTGAACTCCCCCCCCCCAGTAGACCCAGTGCCGGTTTTGGACTTTGTATCTGAGCATTATGTATGTACCTGCAGCGTTGTGCTGTACCACCTGAATGGTATCATGAACTTGGAAAGAAAGATTCCAGATGCAGACTGGTGTAATTCACGACAGAGGTAGGGTAAGGCATCCCAGGGGTGGAATCATGGGCAGCAAACCAAGACATGAATGTATTCATTTGCACACAAATCCAATTCATGGGAATTAACAGCAGGAATCACAATGTATAAATTCCTCCTTACTGGAATTGAAGCCCACTGTAGTATCCAGAATTACGTTTTCCCTCTGGATCATGCACCTACTGCTTTGAAACAACCTACTTTGAGTGCCATCCCGTGGCAGATAGGAGTCTCTGCACCATTGCAAAACTACACATGATTTATGTCATAGTAACCTAACAAGACTAGTTGCCTTATACTGCAGTCCTTAGGCCCTTTAGGCATATCTTCTGATAAATTCTTGCTTATAGACAATGTTAATAAAATATTAGTATCTTGCCTTGTCTCCAAAAATAACACACAATACAGAGAAAATTAATCCATGTGTGTTTATTTTTCAGCGCCAAAGAAATTGAGGTTGTCTGCCTCCATTAATTTTCAGAGTGGATTTGATTTGCACGTTTGACTTTGGAGGCAGTGGGATGTTAAACAATGAAGTATCTTTGCTGAAGGATTATCCTGCATATTTCAGAGACAGAACAGCATGGCTACATCATCAAATGAAAATTATCTTCAGATAAATAAAATATCCCTTGTGTAAAAGCATGCAATGCAAGCCATCTCAAGGCAGCGTAAGACATCCAGCGTAAGAGAGATAAGACCTTTATCAGGTTCAGCAGATGCAGCATCCCGCCCAGCTATTCTGTCCTAGCAGCATCATTTGCTGGGCTCATTAGTTTAAAAGGGAGCCAAGCTCAAAGGGCTTTGGTTATCCCTGCCTGATGCAGAAGGAAGAACACTTCCAACTGACAGGCAACATCAGCTCCATATGTTGACGTTGCCAAGCAATGTTGCAGCTGTCACAACAGCGACTCTTAAGAAGTCCCAGCGCTGCTGTTGGGCAGGTGGCTGATAATTGTTTATCCCATACTCCTTCTGTAGAATTTGGGTGCAGAGTTAAACAGTCTGGGAATCTCAGCTGTCCCTTCTGTTTAAGCAAAGTTTCTAGTGCTCATCGTTGTGGAGAAAAACTTAGAGCATGTCAGCCATGTTCGTCAAGCCAGATTTGCCCCCTTCCTTTCTGTCTTGAAAACAGTTCAGGAAAAGAAAATGAGGACTGCTGCCCATGCACACTTTACTTGGGAGTAATCCCCAGTAAACTCTGTGCACAGATCTGGCTGGGAGTGCATCATTTGGCCTGCAAGTGACTTACAGTGCAACCCTGTACAAGTCAGCTTAGAAGTATACTGGGACTAAATACATCTTGTACTAAGCATTAGTAGCTGAGTTTTTCTTCTTCTGTTTGTTTGCTTTTTCTGTGCAAGCAAATACACTGATATTTGAGCCATATTTCAGTGTCCACAGAATCACAGCTTTCATATTTTGAAAAAGCAAGTTTCTCTCCATAAAGACTCTCTAGAGATGAACATGTATGAGCAGCTTTTTGCTGGGAGAGAGAGAGGAGGCAGGACGGGGGGCTTTCCCATGACAAGGCTTCTAGGTCTCCCATGACAGGCAAAACACATTTGTTTTAGGCAAATGCTAAGGGTACATAGGATATACTGGACAGGAATAAATTTGGGTCAGCATCTTGATTTTACTGTAGGCAGTACACAATGCATTCCTTTTTGAGCTCCTCTTTTGGTGACTGGCTTTGAACCTTTGCCCCCTCTCTCTACTCTTAGGAGTTCCAGTTCACAGCAAATATAATCAGGGATTATAAGACTGCTTTTGTGCAACCTGCAAGTTCTCATTGCTTGGGATATTGGCACAATTTACAGTGTATGAAAATTGGCCCTTGATGGGAGCTTGTAAATCACTGAGGATCCATATAGTTCCTATACAGTAAAGACCTAGATAGAAGTAGCAAGGTAAACACTCCCCCCAGACCCGAGATATAGAAGGAGTTTTACAAAAGGCATTAAGAACGGCTAAGTGAAAACAGCTGCTGCTCAGCCGGTTTGTAGCTAGTTGACTGTGGATTCATCCAGCCGTTTGTGGTGATTCACAACTGGAACGTGTTAGTACCAAGAGCATCGCTTCCTCTCCCAGAATGGCCAGGAAGGAAAACTTCAAAGCCGTGTCCCCGCACAGCTTTCTTTCACATTTCACTTCCTTCCTCTGCTTTTGTCCCTCATTTAAAAACATTAAATGTGCTTTAATGTTTTCTGCCTACCTCTCTTTAGCAGGGTTTTCTGAGAAGACTGAAAATGTGGTGAAACCAGGAGCTTGCTGCGCCTCCTGCAAAGAGTTCTATCAGATCAAACAGACAGTGTTGCAACTCAAACAAAAGGTATTGGAAGGGTATCTTTAAAAGGTGGGGGGGGGGGGGATTTTGCCAGAATGAAGTGCAGCTTGGATGGTGGGGGCTGGGTGGGCAAGCAGCACCTGGTTTATGGGCTTTGCATCTCTCATCCACCTCTCCACTCCTGTCACTGCTGAATTTGTAGTCGGTCTGGTGCTGGAATTCAGCAGTGCAGCAAAAGCAAAGAGAGAGGATTTAGCTTTAAACACTACTGCATTTGGATGGGAAACCAATTTAAAAAATTTAAACAAAGGTAGGCCTTTTTTTGCTGCTGCCAAAGTAGGCACTGCCAAATTTTGGCAGCTGAGGTGCAGCTCCTCTGGGGGCAGGGAGCAATATTGGCCTTTTGACTGCCAGAAGTAGCCCAGCCCTGATCTAGGGTAAGAAGGGTTTGGCAATGGAATTAATTGGCTAAGGCAACTGTGGATTCTCTTTCCTTGAAGGCTTAAAGATCAGCAGCATCATATCACTTGTGGATGCTTTCATATAGGATAATTCATATAGGTGATCTAATTTAGGATAGTGGGTAGGCCTAGAACCAGAAGATCTAATAGGCCGTTCTCACTTTTGCAGGAATGAGTTGAATAAGATTTTGTATTTCTCCCACCTGTGGGAAGATGTCATAATGACCTGTCAAAGCAAAGTGAATGGTTAATTTTCTTTTGTGTACCATTTCTGGTGTGAGGGAGGCTAAATCTGGAGCGTACTCACAGGCCTGCCCCCGCCTAGCCTGTGGAGCTTCCTGGGGTTCCTTCAGGGGCAGAATTAGCCTCCAAGCCTCACCTCGGCAAGAAGTTGTCACTTTCCCTCCCAGTAGGCTGCTGAACCTTCAACGGTGAGAATCTGCATGTGATGTTTCTTTGGTAACAATCCATTCTAGACTCTTACGGACAAAGACTCCTTTTATGGTGCTGTGACCCAAAAAATCATTTGACAGCTGGCTGTTCAGAATCACGTTTCTCCTATCATAAGGTGGTATTTCCATCCCATTTCTCTCCTACCTCCCTTTTTAACTGCAATTCATTCACAGAGAAAATCTAGGTGGAAGTTGAGGTTTGTGAAGGATATGCTGTGTGTTTTCATGAGAAAACAGTGACATGTCATGGTTCTCCATATTTATTTGGAAGACAAGAGAGGATTGCAGAGTTTTCTTGCTTTGGAGAAAACTTTCTAATCTGTTTTAGTCTGAAGAACCTTCAAAAGAGAGTCTGTGAGGGGCTTTTGTTATTTGTCTCAAGCAGGAGAAGTTTTTGTGGGGTAATATGATCATTAATCTAATAGCTTGAAGGAACATGAAGGTGAAAGTTTGAATCTTCAAGTGGTGAGCTTAGAATTATGGGGGTGGATGCAGAAAAAGAGAAGGCCGAAATTGGGAGTGACTTGGGGACTTACTAGACAGCAAAGGATTTTTTTCCTTTTGGCAGGATGTGACTCTGTCACAGTGATGGCATTGCAGTCCCTCATGTCTGCTGCCATCACTGTAATTCTTCATGCGCCACATTACAGCAAGGCATCTGGGGGGATTACAGGAACATCAGCCATGCCAGATCAGACCAAGTATCCATCTCATTCAGCATCCTGTTTGCATAGTGGTCAGGAAGATGCCAACAGAAGGCCCACTGGCAGGACATGAGTGTAACTATCACTGGAGTCTCAGGCGGACTCAATGGCCAGGAGCACTTTCTTTCAGCTCTGATTAAATTACCAGTTGTGGCCCAATCTGGGCAGGCAGAACCGAGCCACAGTCACTGGGCTATTGTAACATGTCCTGCATGGGGCTGTCCTTGAACAAAATCCAGAAACTTCAGCTGGTACAGAACAGGGCAACACAACTGGTGCAAGCAGGACCACCCCCCCATGTGACTCCAATACTTTATCACCCTCACTGGTTGCCAGTTGAGCTCCGGGCCCAATTTATGGTGCTTGTTCTAACATATAAAGCCCTAAACAGCTTGGGAGCAGGGGACCTGAAGGACCACCTGCTGCCATATGTATCTACCCAGCCCCTAAGATCAGTTTTGGAGGCTCTTCTGAAAGAGCCATCCTCCAAGGAGGTAAGGAGGATGGCTAAAAGAAGAGGGTCCTTTTCAGTAGTTGCGCCCCACCGGTGGAACAGCCTCCCAAAAACGGTTCACCAGACAAAAACAATTCTGTTTTCTAGCAACTTTAATAATTGATTTATAAAATAATTTATCTTGACAGTTTTAAATCAATTGCCCTCAGCTGTGTGTTGTTTCATCCTATTGTCTCTGCTTTTGTATTTTAACCACTTGTTTAATTGTTATTCTAAGGAAATGCTTTAACGGATTGTAAACCACTCAGAGGACCCTCTGGCCAATTGGGTAGAAGATAAGTCAGTCAGTCAGTCAGTCAGTCAGTCAGACCGACAGACAGTTTGTGTTTCCCAGCACCTGGAATTAAGAGGCATTTATTTACACCATCTGATACTGGAGGTAGTATTTGGTGACCATGTCTAGTAGTCATTGGTAGCCTTCTGTTCCGTGAATTTAACATGCTGGTGTAGGACAGCATCCACCATTGCCACTAACCTCTACAGGTCCTCTGGAATGTTCCAAACTGGCACAGCAATGCTGTGTACGGGTAGGGGGCATTCTGGGTAAACAAAATGGCAGGTGTAGCTAATCTGGGTAAATGCAATAATGAGCTACTTTGGTTGTAGCCATTGTTCTGCACATGTCTAAAGGTTCTTGGAGGCTTCTTAGAAGTTCTTCCTAACAGAAGATCAGCGAGGATAAGCAGGTTTCCCTGGCCAATGGGCCCTTGTCTCCCTGCACCAGTGCCCCCTGCAATGAGCAGGCCTGGCGGAGTGCTGTGCGCACGCTCTGTGTTGTGCTCTTAGCTCCCAGGGGAGGGCAGCAAAGTGCACAAGGCCTGGGGAGTCCTCTGTGTGAACTCGTAAGTGAGGCCTAAAATGTGCCCCAGCTTTCTCCGTAACACTCGGGAGTTCTGCAGCAAGCGCGCCAGGAAGGGTTCCTCGGAGACAGGAATTTCAAAAACCACTGGCTCGTTCTTTCTTCCACCCCATCCCCTTGACAGAATTTCAAAACTAGTCAGAAGGAACCCTTTGCCAAAAGAAATAAATAACAGGCAATCTAGGCATGCAAGTAATCCCATGTGTGGAAACATTCTCTGTGCACATGTGCTTATTTGGATACATGTAAGTATGTGCTTAATTAGAAATAAGTCCTACTCAGGACCTGGATGATCCCTCTCCAAGCCAGCTCAGCAATAGCCTCTGCATAGGACCACCTCAGATTGACGACATGAAATGCAGGCCATGACAAGGGTTTGATCCCATCTCTGCGACTGCAGTCCTTTTCAGAAGGATTTCACTCAAGTATTTATGTCCTTCTGGGGAAGGGTCATGCATGAAGGAATACTGGAGTGAGATCATTCTCAACAGTGGTTCCAAGCCTGAATCATGAAGGTGGAATGGAAGAAAAACTAGGTCAGCGCATGTTAACGTCTGGCTGAGATGATACTACTCAACATCAAAAGCACAGGGCTTGGCTCCAACGTCCACAAGAGGCCGGTGCATCTTTCCAGGAGATAGTGAAGTGGGAGCCGGCTGAAAGAGTGGGTAGGGCAATCATGTGGGCTTGAGGGAGAGGCTGGCTCAGCACACTGATCTCTGTTGTTGCCCCTTCATGTCCTTTGTTAAAGCCTCCTTTGCTCTCTGTTAGCGATAAATCAGTGCACCTAAACTTGCGTGTGCGTGCACTCAGCGGGGAGACAGAAGCTGTCCTCCCCTTCACATCCTCCCATGCTAGGATGTGAAAGCGCCACAGCTTTCAGCTGAATGCAGAAGGTTGCAGCTGGGTTGGGGCCTCAAAGAGTTGCTGCTGGTCAGAGTGGACAGCAGGTAGCTCAAAGGACTAAGCTTTGCATGCTACCTTCCCCCTTTGTGTAAAGTATCAATGGCACATTGCCATGCATCTTGCTCCTCTTTTTGACTTGAGTGCAATGGCCACGGATGTGCTTCCCTCCGTCTGGGGAGGAGGTCCAGAGGTTTCCTCCCATGGTGAAGAGCAGGCATAGAGGGCCCCAATTCAGGTTGAGATGGTGGTGGGGAAGAACAGTGAACCTCCTTCCCCCAAGCCTCAGCTCCAGCCCAGTTCAGGCCTCCCCTAAAGGAGCCGTTTGAAAAAGAAAAAACAACATTTGTGTAATGTTGCACTTAGTGACAAATGTCACAGCTCAGCGGCAAGTTGAATCTCTTCTCATGGAACAAGGTTAGGGGGTCCATATTCACTATATTTTGGGAGCTTGGGTATGTATAACCAGGAAAAAGTGCCAAGGGTAGAATTAATTACCTGTGTCTCTTCAAAAATAAGCTATTCTGGATTGTCTCTTCTGGCTGATTTGCTAATATTTGTGTGTTCACTGCAAAGGAAGGGCTATTTGATTTTATCCTCCCCCAAATTTTGTGAAGCAAGTTAGGCTGAGGGAGGATGAAGGTGTTGCTCAGGGGATACCCAGTGGGATACCTGGATCAAGCTTGCTATCCACTCCACCATTCTGGCTCATTCAGGTAACTGAGTTATGGATTTGGTTGTTGAATCATGGACTAGGGGAAGTGCACCAAAAGAATTCTTTCTTGGCTCATGGACTCAAATACAGCAACTCACTTAGATGTTGCTGAATTTGCTGAATAGTTGTTGGATGATGGCACTTTATTTATTGCAGGTGGCTTTGTTACCAAATAATGCTGCTGACCTTAGCAAGCCAATCACGGGAGAAAAGGTACTCGCATCCAATGCCTATATACCTGGGCCCCCTGGACAACCAGGTGATCGGGGTCCTCCAGGTAAGGTAACAAAGTGGTAGACCATCCCTATTTTTAATTGATTTATGAAAACTCTTGTAAAGTATTATATATTCATCACATTTTTCCTGCAAGGAATATAGATCAAGAGTTATATACCTTAATATATAATTAGGGCCTTCGTTGTTCCATCTGGTTTTTTCCATACCATGAGCTGTCCAAGGTGCTGTAAGCTTAATTTCATCTCTTCTCTCTGAAAATCATCCTTTCCAAGAGATATGACTGGGAACTGACTAGGAATTTTCCTTGAAAAACTCAGCCTAAAAGACTACATTGCTTGCGCTCTTTATGTGCATTCATTCAGGAGAAACAAAAGGCTATAATGATTAATTACTGTTCTACCAGGTAGTATTGTGTAGTATAATATAATAAAACATTGCAGATTTAGTAGATGGTATTTCTGTTATTGTTCTTAGCATAACTTATTGTTTATTTTATTTCTTTTTGGCCATGATACAAGGGAGAGGATGCAAACCTTTGAGCAAGTAATCAGTGGTCAGTTTCTAGTGGAGCTAATTGCCAGTACTAACTATTCACAGTATAGAGGATTTATTTGGCCTATCCTAATTTTGAACATAGCACCTATGTGTGTATAGCAAAGCATATTGTATTTTCTTTTGAGCTACAGGTGTATGTTCTGATTCAGCAAGAAAGATACCCACCTGGAGCTGTTTTTTCCCACAAATTCACTTGCTCTACTGGGAACCTTGTGCAAATAGTCAGGGCAAATTCTTGTACACACAGCTTCTCTGTTCTAGGTGGGCACTTTTTCTCAGTCAAGCTGGCCTTTTATTTCTGCTTACAAAGTTGGACTAATGTGAGCATTCTGTAGCTGATGCTTCATAGCTGTCTTCAGCTGACAAGTTTTGGAAGCCACCTCTTTTTAGTGCTTCTTTTTGGTTGGCCCTGTTTCTTGTGCTTCCAGTTGTTAAATTAGGCAGCCAGCATTGTGGTACAGAGGAGAGAGAGATGTAAATAGGAAGAGTGATGATGCCAAATGCTAGACAGACCATTTCTGACTGTGGAAGTCTCACCTGGTAGCAACATTGCTTTCTTATGGACATCAGACAACAACCTTTTCATTCACTCAAGCTTTTAAAATACTACTTTTCTACTGTTTACTGCTCTTTCATCCACTAGCTCTGTGGTTATTTATAGTTTTATGTATTTGTATTGTTTAACCTTGTAAGGTACCCTGGAATAGAACTTGTTAAGTGGCATTATAAAATTACTTTAAATACATAAATTATTTATATACAGTTAACATTTATATACTGACTGGGCTGCTAAAAGTTCACCAAGATGATCTATAACAATGTAAAACAATAGAACTGTCAAACAATAAAAATGAAGGACATTAGGAAGGGTAATAGTTAAATGTATTTTTAAAGGCTGTATTGAAAGGCTGCATTGTCACACCCTAGCCCTAAAGAACAAAGGAGTGGGAACCAGTTGTCATTCTGAAAGAATTGGATGCCATCATTTTGGGGAAACACAAGAGGAAACCCTTTGATGTGTCCCTGACAAACAGACCCTTGTGGGTAACGGTGTCTTCAAAAGAGCCTTTCAACAGACACCTGGGCAGGCTCATACCAAGACAGGGCAGTCCTTAAATAGCCCGGACCTAAGCCATTTTGGGCTTTAAAGGCTACAGCCTGTGTCTGATAGGCACCCTGAAAGCAATTGACAAAGAGCACAGGACTTTCTGTACAGGTGTAATATGATCCTGTTACAAAAATAAATAAATACCTGCATCAGCAGACGAGAAACCTGCCCTATGTTTCAAGTAGCCCTCATAATAGTCCATATTCAGCTTGCTGAGTGTGAAAGTCACTCCCACCACCTGAGGTTGAGGCAAGGTACCAGCTGTGGCAGGGGCACTGTTCTTCCCAGGTTTATCTTCGGCCCATCCCATGCTCCAGCAAGCGTCTTCCTTGACCAATTGTCTGGGGAACCTCCTCTCAGCCGTAACTGTCTCTCTCGTTTGCAGGTGCCACTGGCCCGAAAGGGAGTCCTGGATTTCCTGGATCTCCTGGTCCTCCAGGTTTGCCAGGCCCGAGAGGAGCAATGGGGCCTATGGGACCCTCTCCAGACTTGTCCCATATTAAGCAGGGCAGGAGAGGTCCTGTGGTCAGTATTCTTTATCCTTACCATAAATGCATACGGTCTGTTGCTCATGCCATTACTTGTTTTTGACGACCGTGTTTTTCTCTTACAGGGTCCTCCAGGGGCACCGGGAAGGGATGGAGTAAAGGTAGGCCAGCAAATACCTTCTTTGCTCCAGCCAGTTTTTCCCCATTTCCTACACAATGTCATTCATGTTCTTGCAAGGTTGGGAAGGTAAAAAGTGTGTGTGGTAGAGGGAAAAGTTAACTGTCCAATTGGCCCATCACAAGGAATAGCAAGCAAAACCCTCGTTTTTCCAAGGTTGTGGGAGCTTTTCTCTAGACAAGCATCCCAGTCCTGTTGCTATTAAATGGCTCCCTTGTTACCTGGCTTGTTTCCCTGGCCTTTCCTCCTTCACCCAGAGTTTATGGTGATGCCCGCGCTGAATCCCCACCAGATATCCCTGAGATCTCATGCACAGGGTCCATTTATATTCCCAAATATAAAAATGGAGCCACAATGCCATCCCAGTGAAATGTACAGACCTGTCAATGCTTTAGTGCCAGCTTGTGCCACGTCTCCTTTGAGATGGCCTGGGGACAAAGATTCTGTACTGGATAGTCTGTAATGCAGTCCTTTTGCTTATCTTACTTGGAAATGTTGTCATCTGTGCTGTTGAAACCTAAATCATTATTTATTGATCAGATGGCTGTTTTGATCTGATCTTTACCCCAATTTAAGTTTTCTTCCTGCAACATTTCTCCATGTTAAATCAACTTATAATTAATATCACAGATAAATGGGGTAATTGTTTATTGGGATAACAGTATACATATTGGATTAGATAGAAATATAGCAAGATATTGTTTATACATCTATAAGCCATTGTTTTTCATCCACTGTATATTCTTCACCTTTTGTAGGTGTTTAAGAGCCTGATGCAAGATGTTGATTTGAATAATTGTAACAGATAAACATTTTAGTTTAAAAAAACTTAGTTCAGTTTTGATATGTAACAAATGATAAGTGAAATTAATGCTGCTTACTCAGTGGTGAGGAAATTTACTTCTCTGTAAATATATTTAAAATTTGCTGCCAATGTTATATTGGATAGGTAATTCCAAACATCTACTCTTTCTGAAAACAAGGTGACTGTGTAATCTAGCCCAGACTAAAGCCAGTCAGTACTAAATGTGTACTTTCATGAGCACTTAAGTAGAAGTCAGTTCTTTTGAAATCAGTGAGATGCACAACTTGGCAAAGCTGCTTAGGGTCGCACAGTAATTCTGAGTGGTAAAAATGAGGAAAGCATCTTCTACAGTGAAGGAGATTTTTGATTTTGATGTCTGTGGAAGTCAGATCCTCGCAAAGAAGAGAACTGTAAGTTATAGTCTTAAACAATGCATATTAACCAGTGATTATCATTACAGGGTGAGAGAGGTGCTCCGGGAGAAAAAGGACCACCTGTAAGTATTGCATCCATTCCAGTGCAAATTTCATCTGCTAAGAACAGGGCATGCCTGTCTTAACCAAATGGCTTAGATCAGGAGGGTGCTCAGCCTTTCTGCTCCCAAAGGCCACATGGGCTGCTGGCATGTGGGTTGAGACACATGCATGCACACCGCACACTCCAGCAATTCTGATGTGGCCCACACTTTCCCCACTGCTAGTAGTAACAGGAGGGGCAATTTGTGGCAGGATCACTGGAGAAGGAAGGGAGGCCTCTGTGGATGACCTTGCAGCACACAAACAGTCAGGATAACACCTGGTTTTGTGATTGCCATCAAATTAGTGTGGCTGAAACAGGCCTCACCATCATTTAACCCATATGACATAACAGTGAAATATGATATAAATCACATACAGGCGGTCCTTGGGTCATGAATGTCCGAGTTACGAGCAATTTGTACTTATGAATGAACTGCCATAAAGCCTATTAATTTAAAAATGCAGCTTAAAGACAAGCAGCTTGTACCTTCTGTAGTTTTGTGGCCTGCTATGGAAAATCATAACGAGAGAGGAAGTAAAAGGAGAGGGAGGGAGGTCCTCGAAAGCATGCCTTCCTGACCTGCCCATCTGGAGAGGGAAATCTCTCTAGCATTTCCTTGCTTCAAAGAGGAGGCACTGGTGAGTCTGAGCAGAGAGAGGCTTTGGGGATATTTGCCCCTTTTCCACTTTCATGGGGGTCCTGCACCCCAATTCCTGCAAAAGTTGAGGGCCGACTTTATATGGAAGGGATTCTTAAGTGTTTTATATGCGGTTTATATATGTGACCTGACTTACATACAAACTCAGCTTGAAGGAATGGAACTCATTTGTATCCCGGGGAGCTGCCTGTGGTAGAATGTGGTACAAATCCATGACAACCTGGCCTGTCAAGCCTGCCAATTTCCACTGGGTCTGTGAGCGGGTTTGCGAGTTGCAATCATGCAGGTGTTGCAGTTCCAGGCAGCGGCCCTCTCTGTATTTGCATCCTGTGGACAAAAGCAACACACCAATTTTTAGTTTGTAGATATCAGCATACAGAGGGATCTCTAAGCTCAAGAATTTTGAATTACATGGCCCCTAAGGCGCCCTAATGATTTAATATGGAAATCCTTTCTGTATCTAGAATACTCTGCGGTAAACAAAACATAAGATGCAGATGGGCATTAAATTAAAGCAAACTGGTAACCTGATTACATTCTGGTTATATCCTCTAGTATTATATTCATTATTTGATAAATACAATAGTCTACTAGCATTATGAAGAATTGGTTTACATTCTGCTTTCTCCTACATATGTATTAAATCTTCTGACATTTCTAATTTTTAGAATAGAACCGAGCTGAACCAAACATGCACCTTGCCAGCATTTGCTTTCGGAGTGGGGTTTTGAGCTCCCCTGCTCTTAAGAGCTCCCTTGTTTTGTTTCCATGGACAACCCACGTCTGTGCCCTGTATCTCTTTGCCTGGTCGGGAGCAGGCAGCAAGCTTGGAAACAACCTGGGTGCTTTAGGGCTGCTTCCCGTGCTTTCTCTTCAAGCGATCCTTGAAATTTTGATGGGATAGATGGTGAAGAAGTGAACATCACAAAAATTAGTCATTTAGCTCAGCTCCCACATTGAGCTAACTCAGCTCAGCCACTTTTCATTACTTTTCATGCTTGTGGAATTAGAGGTGTTTAAGAATAGGCGATGCAGAGTTTTGTATACTGAAACACGCCTCTTTTGAAATTTGCATTTGGAAGAAATTCTGACCAGGATATTTCAGTTCAGATTCTTCCATTTCACTATCCGGTCATGTCCCTGCGATGGTAACCTATCTAGAATGAGTGCTTTGATAATATAAGGTATTAGGAATATGAAGAACTTGTAACTACCACATTTGTAATATTTCCAGGGCCCACCAGGTTCTTTTGACTTCCTGTTGTTGATGATGGCAGACATCAGGAATGATATTGCGGAGCTGCAAGAGAGGGTGTTTGGGCACAGGACTCACTCATCTGCAGAAGAGTTTCCGTTACCTCAGGAATTCGCAAACTATCAGGATCTGGGGTCTGGAGAAGACTACAAACAGCGGACTTTTTCAACAGACTCCAGCTCACGCAGAGAAGGCAATCATTAGAAAAAATGGTAGGATAGTGATCCATGAGTCACTTAAGCCAGCATACTTGCATATACTCCAGCTTACCCTTGTGGAAACAGATTGGAAATAGGATACCACCAAGCACATTTCAGTGCAATGGCTGCATTCCCTTCCTCAGACATTATGAGCAAGACCAAGTGAAGAGCTAAAGAAGATGAGCAGCAGCTGCTGGAATGTACCAGTTCTGACTGCCAGGCAGGGGGATTGCATATTCAGATACTTCGCCATATAAAAGCAAACTTCCTTGCATGTAGAAAGAAAGATTCTGTGTTGGACGTTTCCCTGGCATGCTACTTTTTGTGCGCGGGGAGTCCTTTGGGTTTTTTTTTCAGGTGGAGATCATTTACCCATTTAGCTTTCTTGCTGGTGTCTGACATGCTCCAGTCCAACCATGTCACATGAGTATGATAACTTTTGCTAACTCTCAAAAGCCGGAAGCACCAGTTCTGAAGCACATTTTGGGTCCTTCCTTGGCTGTGACCCACAATTGTCACATCTTGCTCTCCCCACTTCTGCACCTGCAGAAAGGATTGTGCAAAAACTGTTATGAACACTCACCTGCACGGCCTTCCTTCTGTCCCATCTCTTCTGTAGTGCAGGCAGTATGCTTCTCTGCTTGTTAACCGAGATCCCTGAAAGTTCTGGACTTCTCTATACTGCTGAGCACAGTCCTTTCTCCCTTGTCCTGCAGTGCTGAGCAGCTGCTGCATTTAGAATGTGAAAAGGCAGAGAATTTTAAGAGCTCTGTGAAAGGAGAATTATGGGCATACTGAGCACATTTGGAATCTGCCAGACAATTCTACCATGTCCTGGACCTCTGCTTGCTTGTTGCCCAACTATTTGGCTTATGTAATGACTGGGCTCAGACACGTTCAGGAATTGAGTGTGGATTGTTGCTAAACTGTGGATTCTTGAAACATGAGTAACCGTGTTGTCTGAACCCAGCTGCGATAACAAACCATGGCTTTTTAACCATGGACAGCCAGCAGCAACAACAAACAATGGGCTCCCTTCATGGATTGTTTGATAGCATGGCTGGTTCAGACAATAGGATAACCCATGCTTTAATGACAACCTGTACACAATCCTTGACCAAGCATTGTCATGTTGTCTGAACTGAGTCAATGGTAGTGGTGGAAGTGGGGAACAAGGATTTAGTACCCCATGGAGTTGTAAGTAATTGCATGACTTCTCAGCTGCTGCAGATACAGGGGATGCGAGTCTCCGCATTTCTGGTGTAACATAAGCACAGGTGAGAGAATCCTATAACAGGAGATGTTCTGTAGCAGGTAAGGGTGCTGTAGTTGCACCAGTACAACCTTCTTTGGCCCTGTGGCCTGTAAGCTGACTTAAGTCCAAGTACTGTGGCTTAAATGGCTTGTAGATTGCACTGTTTTAAAAAGTTGTATACTATTTTTTAAAATGCACTGATAATGTATAAAATTTATATATATATATATATATATATATATATATATATATATATATATATATATTTGACCAAAGTTTCCCACTTTCTCTGTATATTTCCTTCTTCACCAGTGCTGTTTAGTGAGAAAGTAAGCACAGTGCAGCCATACATTTCAGGATAAGAACCAGCCCCAAAATTAGATCAAAACTTGTACTTGCAACAGGTTGCGTTTTAGAGCAAAACATGACAAACATGGATATCCCTAAGTGTTGATACTTCCAACTGCAGCTGTATAATTTGCAGCTAGTCACACATGTTTCCTGTTTTTCAGTAAACAGCAGGCAAGTTTACTTGGCACACTGAGCCACCCTGCAAAGAAGCCATGCGATGTGGATTGTTTGTGGACTAACGCACAGTGTGCCAAATAGATAACTGGGCCCACACTGGCTAGTTCTCTCACTCTTTCCGCCTTAGTTCCCCTGCCAGTATCCCCACTGTACTTCTCTCCCTCTCTGTGCTCTAATCAGGACCCCTTTCTGTTGGTCAGTGTTTGTATATTCATTTTTGGACCTTCAAAAATGTGCAGTTGAGGTCATTTTTTTCAGCCTCAGAGAACTGGACAATTGTGTTTGTAATTTTTTTTCCAGATGGCCCCAAGTGCACTTTCATGGCTACCTGGTATGAGCCCTCTTGCTTGCTCAGTTTCCATGTATGCTGCAGCTGTCAAAGCTAGTAGCAAATTGGAGTTGGTAACTTGCATAGTTATTGACAGGACTAGACCAGATAGGCTAATTTGCTTACAATTGCCAGGCACTTGTTGCTAAGCTGTTGACTGGAAAGCAGAAAAAAAGCAGGGATAAGCAGTGAAAGTTGGTACACCGAAAGGGAGGAACAATATACATCTCTTAGCAAATGTAATACTCTTGATTTTAGGTGTTGACTCAATGTCTCCATGAGTTCCACCTTTTCAGTAGTTTCTCAAGTCTGTCAGCTCCTGCAGAAAGTGGGGATATTCACTTCTCTCACCCTTTTTGCATTTCTTTTTTATAATACTTAATGCTGTAGTTCCCTGAGCCTACTACAGGTAAGCACACTCCTCTAGAGAGAGAGCCGCAGAGTTGCTAGCACCCCAGTCTTCCACTCCAATAGTTGCCTCTCCAAGTGTAAAGTCTCCTCCCTCTTTCCCTCCTGCCCTCTTCAAATTTACATTTCAAAACTGCCCTTGTACTTTCTCCAGTTATCTGGTTCTAAGGGGCAGGGACGTCAAGGAACATAAGTGGGGAGTTGGCCAAATCCCTGAGCCCATCAAGCAATGAGACTTCAGCTGAAACTGCAGTGATGGCCCATTTATAGTGATCAAGAGGCAGCTGAAACTTGTGACAAGAGAACTAAGCTTGGATCAGTTGGGATCTTTTATCCTGTTGAGCAGCTGGCAGGCCCTGCATGCTGGCAAGGGGCATGGCTACAGCCAGAAGTGGGTGGACAGCCCCCTCCCTCCCTCCCTCTTCTCCTCTCTTTCTGCCACCCCTTTCCCCTCTCTCTCTTTTGACTTCCTTTTCTCTCTCCCTTCCTGCCAGGTGGGCCTTGCCAAAGTTCTGAACTGTTTTTACAGAGTACCTTGATAATGAGATGAAGGGCCACAGGTCCCCCATGCCTGCTTTACCAGGACCACAACATTCTACTATATGAAGTTTTTCATGATTAGAAGATGCCATGTGTGATGCCATTCTCAGATAGTGCTGCATTTAAGTTACTCTTCATTTGTCATCTCTGAAAAAGTTCACTGCAAATAAACTTCAGATCCATGCAAGTGTAGTAAAATACAGACACTCTGGTAATCTGTTCTCCTTCTCTGTTCCCTTATAAGTTTTTAAGAGTCAGCTACAGCTGATATACAGCTCCAGTTTAGTGCACAGGGATTATGGCTGGTCCATAGTGGAAAAAAGAATATACCTGTGTCTGTCTATTCATGTAGCTAAGCAGTGAGGATTGGGTGCCCAGAAGGTTTCAGTCACCTGTGATAAATCTTACCTGTATTAGTCTAATTTAATTTACTCAACATATAACTAAAGTTCAGCCAGATGAGCCAGTCCAGTTACTTATCGACTAAGGTGTAAGTTCCACTGAGTTCAAAGTCAGACTATGTAGGATTGCCACCTTAGTGTGTGTGTGTGTGCGCGCATGGCTTTAAACATATGCATTTGCACTGGTTACTGGCTTTCAAAACATCATAAATTCAAATTTGAGTGATTCTTTCCCATCTGTTATGAATCCATAGGCAAATGGAGAAGTAATGTTGCATCATCACTTTAGACTAACCTGTTGAGATCTTAAAGCAATGCCTCTCTGAGATTTTCTGTAATCATGTAGATAGTTGTCCTATTCCTGTCTCACAATAGTGAGTGGGGAAAGAGTGAACCAATTCCCAATAGATTTGTGCCCAATCCCTCTTTGAGCTCATATTTCACAGTAACAAAGTAGAAACAACTGGAGGTTGCCCCATGACTTCATTCCTTTTCCTATTTTTATAAAAACACACAGCCTTGTCCTTTTATACATGTTTAGAAGACTATACAGCACACAATTATTTATGATAATTATATGAAGTACTAGAGAGTGTATAAAACTGTGATTATGCAATGTATTTGCAATTAAAGAAGGATATTTTTTCTTATATCGGTGTTGATTTATATTGTCTCTTCCAAACTTTGTTTTATAACAAGGCCTATAAAGACAAGACACTGGTACAAACCCAACAGGGCTACTGAAATTCTGCATTTCTTGGATATGCTTGGATATGCTCAGCGCTCCCCAAATTCTCTCCTCTCTAGCAAAAAGTCCACTTTAGTGCTGCAGTAAAAGAGAAGCATGGTCACTAGGAACCCATCCTCACTTTTAGCAATTTGCAAGAGTGGTCTTCACACATCAGCAGCAACCTCACATTTAGAAAAAATATTCTTGGAAGATCTTATGGCTGCTTCTTTTAAGAGGAATTTTTGTGTACGTCAGATTTGATTCTTACCATATTTCATTCTTTCAGAAGGAAAGGCAGGATAAAAACATTTTAAAGCAAATTAATCCCATCTGGGACATTTTCCCTGCCAAGTTCTGGGCATCACGGTTTAAGGAGAGATGCTAACATAGATTTAGAAGAGCCATCAGGTTATGAATGGTCTGTAAGCCTAGAGAAAAGGAATTAAGGATAGGCATGAGCTGATTTGTAATGTTACAAGTATATTATAAAAGATGCAGCAGGTGTTGTCCATATCAGATAGGAAATTAGGAACATAAGAAGAGCCGAGCTCATCTACTCAACATTCTGTTCCCGCAGTGGCCAATGCCCATAGGAAGCCCACAGGCCAGACACAGCACCTTCCTGCTCATGTTCCCCAGCAAGTTGTGTACAGAGACTCACTGCCTCAGGTAGTGCAGGTGATTTACAGGATCATGATTGGTAGATAGACATGGATAGCCTTCTCTTCTGATGATGTGCTTAATTCTCTTTGAAAGGCATCCATGTTGGTGGCCATCACTATGGGCAGAAAATTTCCTACAACTTACAGGGCCTGAGTATGCAGAACACATTATAAGAAAACCTGGATTAGGATCAGAAGTAATGGGTGAAAATTGGTTAAACATACCTCAATAATTTAAGATATGCAAATGATATGATATGCCTGGCAGAATGTAGTAGCAAGTTGAGCTGACTCCTGATGAAAGTGGAACAAGAAAATGCAAAAGCAGGACTGAAACGGAACATGGAGAAATCAGGGATCATGATTATGAAGAATTACACAATTTTAAAGTAAACAATTGAGAAATTGAAGTTGTGGAAGATTTGGCACATCTTAGCATCAAT